AAGTTATGAATATTATTTTGTACGTAGTCATCAACCATATCAGTTTAAATAGATGAAGACGAAACCTTTAAGAAATTAAAAGCTGATATCAAGTCAAATTAATATATAAATGATCACAGGAAGACACGGGACGCCTTTCATAACTCATCATGTCCTCTGAGGTATCGAAGCTTCTGTTCGTGATATGATGCTCTGTTGCAGGATAGTTACATTTATCTAACATTTGCATTCTGTGGGAAATGTGTTTGGTACATATAACAGCAGCTACTATTATTGAGATGATCACGAGTAAAAATCCAACGGAGACTATTGATCCTAACGCCAACATGTTGATGGAGAAATCAGCTCTTCCAACATCATGGTTTTCATTAAACGTAGCTGTGAAGTTAAAAAAATCATTATTTATTTGCTTAAAATATATACTTTGTTCCCTTTTTTAACCGCAACCTTGGCAATAAAATAGTTTAAATGTTTTGGCATTATAGGGGGTTGAGACGGTGATACATATTGTCGTTGGTAACAATATGCATCTACTCCAACTGTACATGTTGTCAACTATCCTCACTCATAAAGCAATAAAACTTAATCACCTGCATATCTCCCAGTTGATTCGCTAGAACATGCTCTACGTATTAACAGCCCTGTGGGGATCCGGGTTAGAATAGGTCCTCAGTACCCCCTTGCTTGTGGTAAAAGGCGAGTAAATGGGGCCGTATATACCGAGGCCCCGTGACACAGCAGGTGTGACACGAAAAAGATCCCTCCCTGCTCAAAGGCCGTAAGTGCCGAGCCGGCAATGGTGACGTCTCCATATCAGTGAGATATTCTGGAGAGGGACGTTAAACAGTATTCAATCAATCAATCAACGTATTAACAATTCAAGAGAAAGAGATTATTGAGAAACAAAGTGATAAAACAAGAATATCAGCACCCTCTTTTAAGACAGTCGACACGTTCCTCAAATGTATTTTTTGTATCTCTAGGTATAACTTTAAAAATAATGCATATTATGCATATTTTTTTTATTCTTCTGTGTTTTTTACTTTTTCTTCAATACGTTTTAAGATATAAGTACATCGAAAATTGTGATATAGGCCATTCAGATGATTACCCACATGAGAAATATTAATTTGAAATATCACCCTATGGTATCGTGTCCTAAGGCCTCGTAAGGTACCCTAATTTTTTGTGAGGAAAATTGTTTAAGTACCAGACTTTAATGACAAATTTTTGGGAAAAATCAGATAGTTTTGATGACATTAAATTCATAGTTTAGTAAGTTCCATCATCTTGTCAGGAAATACAATCTATCAAAAAGTCAAACACCGAAATATCTTGATAAGATTGCGGGGAGAGAGAGATACTGGGGGCAATTATTATTTGAAAGCAGAAAACACTGGCTATTGCTGTTATTGAACATTAATTGTTTCCTTATATTATATTTGTGTTTGCTGTTATTCTTGTTAATACATACTTTGTACTGTTGGCTTTACATCGTCCACATTGCATCCGTATGTTACATTACAAAAGCTTTTTTCACAGTTACATTCACTTTGACAGTTTTCACCATAGTTAGGGTATCTGCATGGCCAGGAACAGTTTATTCCAAAATACCCAGGACTGCATGCTTTAATTTGATAAGGATAAGAATAAAAATAAATAAGAATATTGAATTTTGAAACTATTAAAATGTAATTTGAGAAAAAAGGGAAATGGAAATAATGGGCCCTTACATGATAACTCCTTGCCTACAGGGTAGATTGTGGTTGTGTTAAAGCTACATCCATGGAGACTATCGCATACACTTTCTGGACAGTTGCAAAAACTTTGACATTTTAAACCATAGTTTGGATAACTGCATTGCTGTGAACAGTTTATTCCGGAAAATCCGGGGTTACAATCTACAATAAAATAATGTCAAGGTATCTCGTATCATGATTAACGTGAAAAGAAGAAAACACTTGATGTAGCCTTCAGCTCGACATTTAGATATATCGACGACGTATTGTCAATTAACAATGGTAATTCCCGTTCCTACGTCGATACGATATATCCTGGTGAGTTTGAGATCAAAGATACCACAGAGTCTGACACATCTGTTTCATACTTGGATATTTTACTTGAAAGTGGTAATGGTAATCTAAAAACCAAGCTATATGATAAACGTGATGACTTTAACTTTTCTACTGTCAACTTCCCTTAGTTATGCAGCAATATACCTTCATTAACTGCATAAGGAATGCATATACATGTATCTCAGTTGATTCGATAAGCAAGAGTATGCTCTACGTATAAATAATTTCTAAAACGAAATAAATTATTTACAAGCAAGTTGATGAAATAGAATATCAGCAGTCTTGTTCAAAGTCACCATTTCGTAAGTTCTATGGTCGATACAACGACATTATCAGAAACTTCAATTTATCATTTTGAGTGAAATGCTGGCTGACGTTTTTCATACTTATTGTTAGTTCATTATTTATACACTTAACTGACGACGGAATTTTCCGTTATTTCCCTATCATGACAAGGAGCACACGGCGGATGTTTCGAAGGTCCGTGTTTGCTCTTTTCCTATTCTGTATTGTTTAATGGACTTTGAAATTGAATTCTGTTCGTCATCTCCATATCCTTCTTCATTGATTTAGAAATTAATGTGCTAATCATCCTCATAAATGCAAAATAATCTCCCGCGTGGAGGAGTTGTTGGAATGTCTGCTCAAGGGTAGCGGAGAAAGTGTCAAATTCTAACGTCACGGGTTCGGATGCACTCTGCGACGTGGAAATCGTTTCCTCGAGTGAAACCTTATAAACCGAAGTCCCATGTCACATGTTGGTACCGGCACGAAAAAGATTTCCTGCTGCTCAAATGCCCTGATAGCCGAGTATATATGTACCTATAGGTCAAAATAATCTGCAACTTTCCATCGGCAAGTGGTGACTTCTCAATATGACTGACGTAAAACAACAAACATATCAAAAATCAAGCTCATTTAGGGAATGAATTGTAATAAATTGCGCGGAAAAGTCAAGCGTTGTCATGCTGAAATCAACAACGATATTTTTGTTTTAAATAAACAGCAAAAATGTTACCTTTACAAGTGCCTTTTGTGTCATTCCACAGGGAACAATTCAGTAATCTGCAGAAGAATAAAAAAATGATGTAAAATTTTGTTTGATCAGCTTAATCCTCTTCCTGTGCAAACTGCTTTTTTTAATCTTGTCAAACATGAAAAAAAATGAAAAAACTTTAAATTTAATTATGAAAATATTACCACTAATGTAGTTATACTACAACTATTTTAGCTATACTTACTTTGAAATATCACTTTTAATCACGCTTAAAAACCCTACAGAACACAACAAACTTATATAATTCAGCATTTTTATTTCACTTGTATACAATGGTATTAAAAATGGTTCCCCTAACAATTTGCGATGAATTCTTTTCATGATTTGTGAAAAATCCGTATTACCATAATATCTAATTAGGAATAGGGAAATTAATTAAACAGGCTCTCTGGATAAAATATTATGACAAGAAAACGCTACATTTTCAATGAAATTGCACTATAAAGTTTTAATTAATAAATAAGTTAATTTTAATCGAGCATCTGTCGCAAACAAACATGAAGTAGAATACAGATTAAAAACAAATCATAAGGGATACTTGAATGAAGGATATGGACATAACGAACAGTATTCAATCTCAAAGTCCATTAAACAATATACAAAATCAGAGCAGAGCAAACACGGACATCCGAAACATCAGAGGTGGGATCAGGTGCCATGGAGGAGTGAGCATCACCTGCCGACCGGTCACACCCGCCGTGTGCTCCTTGTCATGTTCAGGAAATAACGGAAAAATCCGTCGTCAATTCAGTGTATAAATAATGGACAAACAATTGGTATGAAAAACGTCAGTCAGCATTTGACTCAATGATAAATTGTATTTGCTGACAAGGTCATTGTATCGACCATAGAACTTACGAAATGATGACTTTTAACGAGAAATAAGATTCAAGCTAAGTTTCCCTACACAGCTGAAATATTTAAAGATAATAAAAATCAATATGCTTAGAAGCAATAGGGTCTCAATTTCAAAATAATAGAAAAAGTATTTTAGGAAGATTTTTTTTAGCTTAAATGTGCCAAAAATCAAACTACTTTATTACTTTAACTTTGAAGATTTTTTTTGATACTAAAGGGTCATATTAAAAGAAAATGAAATGATTTTTAAAATTAATTGAAGAACTTACAGTTAACTAATTCAAATCAAAGAAGGTGAAGATAATGAATGTGTAAATATATGTCGAATCATAACGAATAAAAAGATATCAGGTGCACTATGGCAATAGGTGGGTTTGATTGATAAGTTTTGTACAATTCCGTCAGAAACAACTTTTAAAGAAATATCGTATTGTAAAATTGTGGCAACATAAAAAAAAATTAAATATAGTTCATCAAAATAAAGTATTTGTTCCAATATCAATGGTATTGCTATTGGTACACTATTAAAGCCCCTCACGATTTAATAAACTTAATTTAACCTATGTTACTGACACGAAGAAGTACATCATTAATTATCAAAATGATTATGATCTGGACGTATTTCAAGTTTAAAGTATTCATATAAAACGTTCGCTCTAAAGTACATCTGGGCTTTTTATGGAAGCTTGGGGGTGTTAACGAATAAATCGTCAGTTGTTACTATTTTTTTTCTGTCAAACTTCATTTGACAAAATAATTCTGTTAAAACACAAGTACTCTGAAGTTGAAATAAAAAGATGCCTAAGTTTCTGATTGACAATTTCCATGTGGGTTTTGGTGACCAGATCTTCCAACTATCTATTGGAATTTCCATGGGTACAAATTGGCTCTGTTATTAGCAGACCTATTTTTGTATTCACTTGAAGCAGGAGTTGTGCAAAATCACATGCGTGAAAAGAAGAAAAACACTTGCTATGACTTTCAACTCGATATTTTGATTCATCGACAACGTAGTGTCAATTAACAATGATAATTTCCATTCCAATGTCGATTCGATATACCTTGCTGCGCTTGAGATAAAAGATAAAACAGAATCTGACACACCTGTTTCATACATGGATGTTTTACTTGGAAAACATATCATAGTTATTATATATAATAATACAATGTATATTTTATATACCCCAAAAACAATCTGACTCCTCAACATTTAATGGCTACTTGTCTGCTGACATGTTTGGAGTTGACGTTAATGGTAATCTAACAACCAAGCTATATGATAAACGTGATGACTTTAAGTTTTCTATCGTCAACTTCCCTTACTTATGCAACAATATACCTTCATACCTGCATACGGTGTTTATATATTTCATTTGATTCGATACGCAATAGCATGCTCTATGTTTTTAAAACGAGGTAAATTATTGACAGACAAGTTGCCGAAACAAGAATACAATACATGAATTAGCAGTCTCGTTTAAAGTCTTTATTTTCTTAAGTTCTTCCGTCGATAAAATGACCTTGTCGGTACATACAATTAATCATTGAGTCAAATACTGACTGGCGTTTTTTCATACTAATTGTTAGTCCATTATTTATGTACTGAATTGAGGACGGATTTTCCCGTTATTTCCAGATCATGAAAAGGAGCAAACGGTGTCAGTGTCCTTGATACAAAGCATGGTATCCTACTTTACACGACGTATTATTTTGGTAATTAATTTGACCTAGTGGTACTAGCTGGTACTTATAGGATGATGTTTGCATGAAACATATGAAAACACAGGTCTACAGATTTTTCCCGTTATTTCCCGGTCATGAAAATAAACACACGGCGGATGTGGCCTGTCGGAAGGGAATGTGCACTCCTCCGTGGCACCTGATCCAACCTCTAATGATTAAGAGATTCGTGTTTGCTCTGCTCCATATTTTAAATGTTTAATGTAAATTTGATCTTGAATTCCGTTCGTTATCTCCATATATTTCATACATGTAAATTGTCACAGTAAAATTAGATTTTTAGATCAATCAATGTGTAAGTATAAGATTATATAACACATAACTCTTAAGACATCCACCCTTCTTGCTATCAGTCATTTTGAGGAAATATAGGTGTCACATCCAGTAAAGGAAGAAGGATTTCTTCCCGTCCTTTTAGTATAATACTTTTGATTAACAGTTTCAAAACCTTGGAAACCCAAAATACTGTTAAAATTTTATTAAAAATGGTAAATTTTGAAATCTGTAAAGAGGGCTAAAAAGCAACTTCCGGTAATGGAAAGAAATTCATTCAACCGTAAAATAACTGATTTGGCAAAGTAAAAGATTTCTTAACTTTTTTGGTACATAGTTATAACCTGTATATAATTTTCAACCTAAAATAAGGGTGTTGCGTTTCTATTGACGGTGAGTATATTTTCTACAGTCTACGTGTGAATGCCTCCATATAAATAGGACTAATTATGGCCTTGCTATTTTTTAAAAGTTCTTCGAATTCTATAAGGTAATAACTCGAACTTCAAACACAAAGAACAAACGATGTCTTAAGCATCCACTTCTGTGAGCAAATATTATTAAATTTAGGTATATTTATTTAAAAACTACATTTGTTATCAACCAGTATGCTGTAGAAATCTTAACTGATATCCTCGTAGAAAATTATTATATGTACAATTATTATTATTATTACTCTTTATAGATTTATTTCTTTTTTAATAATCTATTTGAGATAAACTAAATCTCATCTTACACAATATTTCTAGATTAATTGATTGATTGTATATTGTTTAACGCCCCTTTCGGGAATTTCTCACTCATATGGAGAGGCAACCACTTGCCGAGGAGGGCTGCACATTATGTCAGCACTTAGGGTCATTAAGCAGGGAGGAATTATTTTCGTACCAGCAACTGCTGCGACACGGGACCTCGGTTTATACGGCCCAATCCAAAGGACTGGTCTCCACGTCCCGCAGTGGAATTCGAACCTGCGACTCTAGAGCAGACGATCCAACTACTATGAAAATAAAAACTGAAATAACAAAATTAAAAAAATAAAATAATATACATCTCAGAACCCTTATTATCAAAATAATAATAACAACAACAGCAAAAACAAGTACGTAAACATCATCACACAAACGATCAGCTTTCAAGCACAGCGATGTACAATCTCTACTCTGCAGAATCAAATTCTACTTATACCCCTTTTAACGTCTCAAACGAAGTAAGGAAGCGGAGGAATGGGATTTTTCTTATCAAATGTTGATTAAAATGGTTCACAATAAGACTATCACATTTACATTTCTATATATGTGTCAATGCTGCAAGTTACTCGTCTATAAAAACTAAACACACTTTCATTTGATATGTTAAGCAAGAATACAGAAGTTTTACATTTACAATTTATGCTCCAATGCGTAAAAGTAAGTTTTGCCTAGAATCTTCGCATTTAGACGTTGACAGACGTGTTGTAGCGAGGCGTAATCCCCCTCTGGTGAGATATTGAGCGTTTTGTGGAAATACTTTTATATTTTAATATTTACATTTGCTAATTTCTTTCCTTATATGACAATATAAATCAAATTGACATTCAATTTTCAATGGTATGCAGTTGGGCAAACCGCACGAGACTATTAGAAAGTCTTGACTGTTACGTCATATGACGCCGTAGTTACGTTATGTTGCATTTCTATGACAATATCCAAATAGCGCCTATTTTCCCTTGTAACACGAATTAAAGAAATATAGATATAAGAAATAAAGTATCAATTTTTAGAGTTTCATAGGGATATGACATGAAGTCGGTCACGTGATCAAATCTACGCCCTTTTGTATGAATTATACGTTCCGCCGACTATAATCTCTTAAAGAAACTATAAATCACCACAAACAATGATGTTTACTGAACACCAGTATATTCATATCTATTAAGTGTGTTTGCTAACATATACACTCCGTTGTCGGCTTGACTACAGGTTTCATCAGGTCTGGAATACTCTGCAGTACGATGTAAGTGAGGGTTGTACGTGTTTCCCGTATGTTCAGCTATTACAGTGCCGACATAGTGGGCGTTCTGCCTGATGTGTCTGGTGAAGAATCTTCGGTTTGCAATGGAGATAATGATGAAAGCGAAGATGATGAGAACGATCCCGGTAACTGTTACCGCTATGATGGTAGTGACACTGTCTTTGGATTCTTCGATATCTCGCAAATCTATTAAGATTCTTTTGAAAATAAACAACTACGTTGGACAATACAGACTCTACTTAAGAAATAAATAACAAGTTTATAAACTTCAATGGGAATTGAAGTGGGTCGGTCACGTGATCAAATCCTGTGAAGGCCGAAGGCCTTCTCAGAAGATTTGATCACGTACCGACCACTTCAATTCCCATTGAAGTTTATAAACTTGTTATTTATCACTTATATATACATTTGAGACAGACAATTGAATATTTTCGATTTTAAATTATTGCACTAACCGTCCGTCGTAGATTTTGAAAAGTGACGCAAGGCGTAAATCGGCTTGTATGGCGGTTACTCTTCGAATTTATTAGGCTAAGGAATCTATTTCGAAGGGAATATTCTGTGAAAGGCTACTTGTGATCAGTAATAGTGAACAGATTGTTGTCTGGGAATATTTTTATTTGTGAAAATGATAATCGATGCTGAAAAGACACAAGGAACACGTCCGAAGTTTGTTGAATTTGTTGATAAAAAGTTGGAGGAATTTCGGTCGCCGGAAAGGGATGGGTGGATCCGATGGATTGAGACACTTGTCCGACCAAGTTAATTTGCAATTCGATCTAAAAACATTCTACGATTTCAGTAACTAAAGGCATACTTACCGTAACACACTGATAAATACGGAGACACTGGCGACAGCGTTACATTGAACTACGAAAACGCCGAGGTGTTTGGCAGCTGTTCATGGCATGGTCGCAATGATATTTTCCAACAGATTTACACATTTATCGTGAATAGAATTTAAAGATAAAATAATAGTTTAACCTTAAAATTTAACCAAAGGTTTACCCATAAAATAAGGATGAACGTTAGAGACTGTGCAGCTGACAAAAGTGAAGAAAAATGTAAACAAACGCTAGCCTAGTTTGTCTATGTACACAGGTTTAATCGATAGCCAAAAAACTGTGTGAAATATTTGTTTACATTGTAAATAAAATGATTATCATTTTACTTGCTTATTTTGTTCATTTTTTTTTTTACATGAAAAGCAAGTAGAACAGGTCATTTTATAATTTATGTACTGTACCTGTAGATATTATTGCGCCGTGTGATTAGGTCACGTATTGACCTCTGACCTTTGACAAACTTCATACAGAATTGAAGATATTTTCTCTCTATATGTTTATATAATGGAGAGATACCACAAATGTATATATTTCAGCTTGCAATATACATATTTAAAATGAAATTATCAGAGACAGAGGTATTAGAGATATATGTTTTGACTCACTCACCTTTGATGCATCCGAAAATGTGATTACAATACTCTTGTCCACAAGTGCATTTATCCTGACATTCATTACCGTAGTTAGGGTATCGACACGGCTCGGAGCAGTTTGATTTAAAATATCCTGGCGGGCATTCTAGAAGTCAAATAAACCAAATCCTGCTAAACTATTTTAATGTTGTTTATGATGGCTTTAATTGTATTGTAACAATTTCATCTTTGATTATAAAAAAGTCAGTTTCATACTATCACAATAAATAATTTGCTACCCTTTTTAATCAGTGTTCTTTGCAGGCTTCTGCCTTGCATTTGTAGTTTATGTAATCCAAATTCAACCCTACCTGTGCAGTTTCCTGATTCCTTGTTATAAAATTGATCATCAGGACATATCATCTGCGAGTTTTTGGTCAATATATCCGCAAAGTAATTAGTTATAAATAGAAACATGAAGACCTTCATTGCTTGGTAAAAGGGGCTCCTTACACAATGAAGGAATCCCCGTTAAGACAAAAGAACGATAGTCATAAATATCCAGTTATTCGTACCAGCACCAAAGCGTTGAAACTCATAATTCCAGATCCATTTGCTGCATATAACAACCACTAGTATTTTTAAAACTACTTGAAACTGATATTGTTTACATATCGAACTTAACTAGATCTAAATATGTTTACATTCAGGCAACACTTGTTTCCACTTCCTTAAAGTGTATTATATGGATACATGCTATTTAAAACAATTGCCTGATACTTGAGCGATCTTTTTCCTCTAAAAGGTTAGAATTGCTTACAATGGTCACTGTTTTATCAATTTTGCAACGAGAGAAGACTGGCTCTTCCTTATTTTCCATGTTTTTGAAGAACTACAAGGACATAAAGAGAGTTTTTATTTTCTTCCTTTAACCATGCAGTTACAGAGTTTCCTCGTTGCAAATATGTACTTTATACAAATGTTTGAATACTCCCTTTTAATGACTGTTAATAACAACGATGTATAGTTGATTATAGCAACACTATTTACATGTATATATTAAGGATCACAATTCGTTTTCTAAATAATGCAAATGGTAAAATATATTATGGATTTTATTCTCAAAAATTCCAATATATTCTAGAATTATCTTGTTATTCTTGTTAACAATTTTCAGGCCAATGCTTTATGAAATCTATTTGAATAAGGAGAGTTTACTTTAAATGATATATTGGAGAAAAGGTGATTGATATATATACGCATGATGTAATGCACTTTACAGGAGAAGAAGATATTCCAGGACTTATTACTGATCGATCTTGAGAAAGCATTTTATGCTCTTTCCTGGAACTGCATACAAAAAAAATATAGCTTTTTTTAATTTTGGTCCTTCCATCAGAAAATAAGTCACTCGTTTCTACATTGATATTAAAGCTACGGTTAATCAAGGGGGTAATTTTTCTGATGTAGTTGATATTCAAAGGGGATGCAGACGAGGAGACCCCTTGTCTCCATATATTTTTCTGATATGCGCGGAGATTTTAGCTATGCAAAAATTAGGAAAAATAAAAGGTATTACCATTTCAAATATAGGAAAAAAAGATTTCTCAATTGGCAGATGATACTTCTCTTATTCTTTATGGAAGTGAGGATTCTCTTTTAAAAACATTGAAAACGTTGCACACTTTTTAGATATGTCTGGATTATGTATTTACTAAAAAAAATGCTCTATGTGGATTGGATCCTTAAAATACAGTGATGAAGGTTTAATTCCAAATTACCAAGTGAACTTAATTGGGGAACTACTAGATTTTCTTTGTTAGGTATAAGTTTTGAAGTTGAATTAGAAAAAGGGTCTGAAATAAATTACAAACTCAATGACATCTTAACTCGTACCTCTTGTTAGACCCATCCCATTTTTTTTTTTTTACTAAATTTGACCACAAAATGGTCCGTCTACTTGATCTCAGAATGATTAAGCAATACAAATCTGTTAAGAGGACATAAACACGGACCCCTGGCTGTTCCCGTGATGGGATCAGGTACCTGTCGTTCGGTCACAGCGAGTGTGTATGATGCTTTTTTTAAAATTGTGTTTGTACTATTAAACTTTTTCTTTTGAAAAATGCACTGCTTCAAAATAACCCTATGACGTTTATATTTCACGGGGTGCAAATTTTGGCTTATTTTAGTGGTTTTGTAATAAGCCGCTAAAAGTCGGATCACCTAATTTGCACTCTTCATTATCACTAGTGAATTAAGAAAAATCACTTAATATAAATAACTTTGATTAGTTTGTAGTATAAGCATTATAAATTTCATCTGGTATTTGTTTACTCCAAGTTTTGTGTTTATCAGTATTCAAACTTATATCTAACGTACTGAATTCTGAATATCCACTCCTTTCCAATGTCAAGGAAATCTGTGTCCACCAATAAAAAAAGAGTTCGACAAAAATTATTGGCATATTTTTGATCAAGCAAAACGCCAAATTGTATATCCGCTAAAGATACCCACATACAGTTTATCTGGGATACTATGATACTAACTTTGATTGAATCTTGTCATAGATTAAAATGAAACTCTTTTTCTCTGCTGTTTACTGCACCGAATTACATAATGCATCTTTATAATCTTTTTATAAAAGTGATGCGTTTCTCGCGGAACAACTAAATAAATTTCGAAGTGGGATAAGAACTGTGTGAAGTATTCTTTTAAACATTGTTGAACTTGTATCAAGTAAACATACTTATACATACATGTAGCCACGACTTGTGTTGACACGATATCAGGAAACACACACTAAGCAACATTAGACATCTTCTCCAAAAATAAAACAAACATCAATTTTTCAGTTTTCGTGAGCTACAAAATGTCAGAAATATTTTATATATGATGGTTTGAACACCTGTATCTGTTTAGTTATGTACGTTTTTGGAATCAAATCAATCATATGATATGAATATGTTATTTTTTTTCATCAGTGTAATCATTGAAGGTCAGACGACATGTTCCTCAAAAATATATAATTTTCACAAGAATTTGCAGGCATTTGGACATGGTACCACAGAGTGATATTTCCTATACTAGTATATCCCATATGGGTAATCATCTGAATGGCCTATATCACAATTTTGATATACTTACATTTAAAAACATATGGAAAACAACGTAGAAATGACAAGAGAATGACAAATATGCATATTGTTTATATAATACCATGAGATACAAAAGATATATTTGAGGAACGTGTCGTCTGACCTTAAGAACGTTCTGTAACATGCAACGCGGCCGAGCTTGGTGTTTGTGATATGACTTGTATCACCAGGCGTTACACTCAGGTTCGTTAACCTGTTAACTCGGGTTTTTGTTGACTAAATCAAATATATACAATTATAATACAATAAATCAACGGGTTTCTTCTTGATTGGACAACCACTAACTGTGGTCAACGGGTGTCTCCCGTACACAAATTTCTTCTTATCCTGCCACTCCACAATAGTACTGCCTCTTGGCACTTCCCCCACCTTCATCTGTGGTATGCCACCTCTCTCTATAACCAACCAACTGCCTTATTCAGGTCTTATGTTATGGTTATTGTAAATTCTCAGTTATGTGCCCTCCGCAACTGTATGCCTTATTCAGGTCTTACTACAATGTACAAGACAACACACAACTAAAACCTGTAGCAAACACCGTCTTCAGAGAGGTATCAAAACACTCTAATACAGCGTGTATTACTTCAGAGCAGTCCCCGTGAATTGGCAATTTCATACTACTTGTATGATCGCAAAATTAATATTTTTTAGTGTTTAAGAAATTGAAAGATAACAAAGGTCTAACGTTTATACGAAATTAAACGACAACCATTTCCGTTTCAGTTATAAAAGAATTCAAAAGGAAAGAAAATATGTTGACCACGTCATGAAATTATCTGTATGCTATGGCAGCAAAGTGTGACATATTCAGATCTTGTGACAATAAAATTATTTGCCGTTTCTTTCTAAGATTACGTAATATAAAAACCACATGTCCTACATGTATAAGCAAAGTGACATAGGCCTTTCAATTTTACACTTGTTTTTTATATCCATTTTAGGGTTTGGTGTACTAAAAAGAAAAGGATTGTGATATTTTAAATGGAAACACCCATTATGAGGGTAATGAATATCAAAATTAAACCCTTATTATGTTTAAAAAGAAAAAAAAAAAACAATGTTCTGACTAGCTTGAGGATGATGATTGAAATTGCATCTATGTTTAACTATGTGCTTTTAACGCATAATTATCATCATTTATTGGTGTTGCCTAGAAGTTCAACAAAAACGTTGATAGAAGACCTCAAAAGCAGACTTATTTTGAATTGTAAGACCTATTGCAGAGTACAGAGAAAATTTTAATCGTACAAACATCTACCATGATACAAGTACAAAAAATCCCTTTAAATTGGCTTGAATTGAATACCGGATACAATCACGCGACCGACTCAAGTTGATGTAAAGACCCCAACTATTTTCTTGACATTTGCAAAACATAGCGAGTTATCAGGTGAAAGTAAAAGTAAGGCTTTGAGTGCCTTTATCAAGTACAAGCCTAAATCTGAAGCCCTAGTTTCATTTGATGTCTGATGAAAGAGTTTTGTCAAAAATTATGTTGTTAAATTCGTTCAATCTATCAAACATATGATGAATTAAAAGTAAAGTTCCAATCCTTTGGGAACATAAAGAAGGTTTAAGTAAATACATGTAGTTATAGGGTTAAAGAATCTGTTTTTTATTTTACATAATAGTTTAAACATCAGTTTCGTTGTGCTGACGTTATCACATGAAAACCTATGATTTAAACAAAGATTCGTCATTTTTTAAAGACATCTACGGACGGAAAAAAGGTAAGCATCATATAAAAAAATTAAAATAGCTCTCAAGTGACATATTGCAGTCATGTTTGAAATATCTACTTATATTTTACATAAATGTGCTATAAACGCTTTAAAATAACAAAAATAAAACGAACTTTCATGTATACAAATAAATGTCAATAGAAATGACTGAAAAATTTAGTTTAAAGTCCAAAATCATTTTTAATATTCCACTTTCACTTGCTTATTGTGATATGTCTCCCAACTTTTTCGTCACCAAAGGGTTGCCAAATGTATGATGCAATTTTAAAGCGAGACAGGCTACTCACTGATAAGTTGATGTTAAAGTGATTTCAACGACCAGAATGTCGTCGTTATAAAGACATTGTAAGCAAATATTATATATAATTGGGTCCTATTTTGACTGAATTGCTTCAAACCAATTTTTAGGCCTTTGTTTTATTTTTTATTCTAAGTTGAAATAGATGGTTCCGTCTACCCGACTTATACACAGGGCTCAAAGTGGATGTGTTTGGTTAATAGGGGCCGCTTATTCTTCTTAGGCACCTGATCCTATCTTTTTTGTTTAGAAGGATCGCTGTTTTTACTGCAGTATACCTTTTACATTTTTTTTTTGCATTTGCTAAAACAAATATTTTAATTACAATGTAATCATATTGAGTACCAAATATGCGATATTTTATCTCATAGTTGAAATTTATTCTTTAAAGTTGTTAAACTGATTCTTTTTTGTTACAATACAAATAAGAAATTATACAATGCAATAGGAAAATATAGAGCTCAAATGATATCTTATACAATTTGAATGATTTTTTACAATACAAATTGAAAATATGGAATAAAAATAATAAATTATAGAGTTCAAGTGGAAAATTATTAAATACAAATTAAATACAAATAGAACACTATACAATACCAATGGAAAAGATCGAAGATTTCAAAGCATCCCATAGATACTGATGCAAATTTTGGTACATTAAATAATCTTAAACAATTTTCATTAGATTTATGAGTAAACTTAAAGAAAAGGATGAAATTAAATTAGATTAAGCTTGTGGCTCATATTGAAAAATAAATGTTATATAATTAGAGACTTTTTTTTTATCTCCAAGGTGATAAAGAACTTGTTTTCACAAATTTCTTTTTAAAGAACCACAAATATTGTTACTTTTGTTTCCTATTAGGATGTATATTACAGTACATTAGACAAATAAGACCAACTAACAATTAAATTATTTGACAACTTTAATTTTCAACATCAATTTTTTTTTAATTTGGAATATTATTTAACGTTTACCAACAGTTGCATGAATGTCTCATAATACACGGTTAAATCAACGTTTGGAATAAGAAAAAATAGTGAAAGTTAAAGAAGAGGAAACCTTTACTACATTCCTCTGCTACATCACCCGATTACATTGCCTCTTCAATTCTTCAATCTCTGCATTATGCTTCTTCTCTTTTTCGTTTTCTATATCTTCTTGTTTTTCTACAACATATTTCAATGATGTATTTTTTCATACAAAAGATAAAAGGATGTTCATTGTACTAAATAGCCTTCTTTGTAGCCTTCCATCAGAAAACATTTTTAATTACCTAACAATTTTCCTCTTTCTTCCAAGTGATGTGTATTATCTGTAAAGCAAGTAAGTATATCAACATCACTTAATTATTTAAAAGTACATTGTATATACGAAACTGTATTTTTTTTTACTAAATTCAAATGTCTTGATTATCGACGATTTCAATTCTAATGTATTGGAAAGGTTCTAACAAACCTAATGAATGTGGTCCTTGCTCAAGATCCAGTCCTAGAAATACAATAATACATGAACAAAAAGTAAGCTTTTCAGTTAAATAGGTTTTTAATCTAATAATGAAGTACTTTTCAGTAAATCATAAAGAAGACAATGTTAATTTGGATCAGAGGTCTTTAAGGAATTTGTCATATTTTGCATTACAGATAATGGCCGTAATAAAAACGTTCATCAAAATGTTTTTATCTGTACGATGCATTACACAATATCCCATGCTATGTCAAGTTCCTTTTTATATGGCGAGTGAAAAGAATGTAAGCTGAGAAAAAAGAATCGTAAGGAAAGGGAAAACAAATTTTTAAAATGAAAATACAAAGAAATCCTATCTTAAAGAGCTGGAATTAATTTTCTTTCAAAATGGAAAAAAAATATTTTCTAGAAATATTTTCTTCATAAAAGCCAACATACAGATTCATTTCATTTAGCTTGATTACAACATATTCGTT